GCTGTTTGCTTGTTTCTCTGTTTTGAGAAAAGGTCTCACTATGTAGTACAGGCTGTTCTTAAACTTGTTTATGTAGCTCAGGCTGGCCTTTAACTCTCAATGGTCCTGCCTCAGCCTCCCAAATGCTGGGATTACAAGCAGGCACTACCATGCCCAGCAAGGAAGGCAGTTTGTTGTTGTTGTTGTTTTGGGAGTTTTTTTGTTTTGTTTGGGACAGACAGGGTCTTGTTATGTAGCCCAGGCTGGCCTTGAATTTGCTGTGATCCTCTTGCCTCAGCCTCCCAGTGCTGGGATTACGGGGGTCCGCCACCATGCCTGGCTTTCCAGTCTTTGAGACAGGCTCTAAATTGCTGGTGTTGGCCTCCAGTTTACTATCGTCCTGCCTCAGCCTCATGAATCAGTGCAATTACAGGTTTGTACCACCGTGCTCAGCCACGTTTCATTTTCTGTTTGCTTCTGTTTTCAGGTCCCAGCCTTCCCCACATGCTTTTATCCAGTGTCACTGGGCACAGGGTTTCATGACATGTTTAGGAGTCGTCTGTGGCCTACTTTGTGTTTCCTGGCAGAAATGTGGGCTAATAGACATGGACTGTGATTGATTTTCAGACCTCTTTGGCAGAGTAAATCATTTTCATCTGTCCCAGTTGTACTGTTCAGGGCTTCTGCCAAAATGGATTTTCAGTTTGAAAATTAGTGTAATTACACAGGTCTGATATTTGATAACATTAGTAATTCTAGTCTTTTCCCATCTGGGAAAAATGGGAGTGGTGGTTACACCTGCCTCAGAAGCAGCTCAGGATCAAATCAGTGCATGGGGCGCCTTGATAGAACAGGTGAGATGTCATGGTCGTTCAGGAAGGTCTACACCCTTTTGTTTTAAGATCTGTTACAGAGTAGCAGGTTTTGAAACTTTTAAAAAGGGTCTCTCTGTGTCAGAACTCAAGATTGCAGCAGTTGAGTCCCTGTACTGATCATGTGGATCAGAACAGGATCCACGCGACCTTTACCACTGAGCTGCATTCCCATCCCTTTCTTATTTTATTCTGAGAGAGGCTCTTAAGTTGCTCAGACTGGCCTGGCTTGGAACTCTCAGTCCTCCAGCCTTAGCTTGTGAGTTGCATGCCTCTGTGTGTCCCTTGAAGTTGTGAAGTGTGTGTGTGGATGTGGATGGGTGTGGGTGAGACAGAGACAGAGAAGACAGAGAACCTTGAAGTTGTAGAATTTCCTAGAACCTGCCTGGCGTGGTGGTGCACACCTGTAATCCCAGCACTTGGGAGGCTGAGGCAGGAGGATAGTTGCGTTCGAGACGAGCCTGGGCTACAAAGTGAGTTCAAGGCCAGCCTGAACTGCATAGCGAGACCCTGTCTCAAAAAAGACCAAAAAAAAAAAAAGAATTTCCTAGAACCTGACAGTAGTCATGAAGTGGAAAAAAATGAAGCAACGAACTCGGTGGTCTCCACAGTGAGTTGAGTATATTAGCATTGCAAATTTGTTTTCATCACCAACATTGGAAGAATTGGAAAGAGATTTCACCAGGGTTGGGGTGCTGTCTTAGAGATACCGAATTTGAGGTACAGAGGGAAAACAGAGTTCAACCTTGACTGGAGTTCTGGGGTCGGGACTGGAGGTTTTGGAGTCACATGCACAAACATGATACTTGAAACCTTGAAGTCCCCAGAGACAGGTAAAGTGTTAGAAGAATAAAGCAAATCACTGTGCACACGTTTTAAGGGGGTGGCTAGGTGTGGACGCTGTAGGTAAGGAGATAGGGTTAGAAATTAGCATACCTAGTGTAGTATTTTCTCAGGGAGGTCCAGGAGGGTGAAGTTGCTATAACAAGAAAAAAATCTAATAGATTAGATCAATTTTATGATGCTAGGTCATTGGTGGCTTCTGAAAAATTTCAGAAGTTTGGCAGGAGGCAGGCTGGCAGAATATAAGGAACCCCGTGGGTGTGGAGCAGCCTCTCCACTGCTGGGACTCCAGGCACGCCAGAACAAGCAAGGGAGCCAGGAGTAGGAACATCGGTTGTTTTAAAGTAAGGGTCGGCCTGAGGCTATATATACCTCAGTGGTAGAATGGAGCTGTGTTCAATAAGATAAAATAAGAGTGTCCTGCATAGGGCTGGAGATACAGCTCAGTGGCACAGTGCCTGCCTGGCAAGCTCAAGGTCATGGGTTCGATTCCCGGTACCAAAAAAAAAAAAGAGTGCCCCGCACACTAGTCAGTGGGCTGCCTGTTCTGTGTACAGATTAGAATTGTAGGGTTTCGTGGGCCACTGCATATAGCCCTTATTAACTTTTCTTATACACTCATTCTAAAATTATTTGCACAGGAATGGAAAATACATTGCAGGTTAAGTTTTATTTTCACAGTGACTACTTACTGTAATTTGCTCAGAATGCTTTTCTTTTTTAAAATTTGGGTTAAAGTAGGCCTGTTTGTGGTAGCAGAACACATAACTTGAAATGGGTATTTTCTTTGCCTTTTCAGCACCATGAGTGACTTGAATGAGGTTGGTATGATAATTTATACATAAAGATTTATTTATTTGTTTTTAAATTGATTGGTTGTTTGAGATGGGGTCTCGCCCATGTGTCCTGAGCTGACCTTGAACTCACAACAGTCTTCCAACCTCAGCCTCCTGAGTAAAAGGTTTTTAAAATTGAGACAATAATTAAGAACTTAACTAGGTATGGTGGCACACTTTTATAATTCCAATTACTCAGGAAGCTAAGGCAAGAACATTGCAACTTCAAGCCAAGCCTGGGCAGTTTAGCAACTTTGCAAGACCCTGTCTCAAAATAAAAAGCAGTTTGTGTGTGTGCACTGGGGATATAGCTCAGTTTGAAGACCCTAGGTCAGTGGTGGCAAACCTACGGCACACATGCTGCAATGGCTGTTAGTTATCATTGAATGTGCTAAAAGTTCTCCATCACTCTTAGTACTTCCAAAAATAATAAATTTGGAAATGATTGACATTTAACAGTATTGTTTTTCAAACCATGAATGTGAACGTTCCCATTTAGGTCTCCTGTAGCTTCTCTTAGCAATTATTTATAGTTTTCAGAATAAACAGTTCTGTTTTTTTGAGACAGTCTTGACTGTCACCCAGGCTGGCCTTGAATTCACGTGACCCTCCTGCCTCAGCCTCCTGAATGCTGGACTTACTGGTGTGTGCCACTGCATCTGGCTTCAGAGTATATATTTTGTACTCATCCCTCCCCCTGTTCCTTTTGAGGTGGGATCTCTATGTTCCCCAGACTGACCTTGAACTTGGGATCCCCCCCTACTTCAGCCTCATAAGTAGCTGAGATTGTGGGTGTACACCATTTTGCCTGGCTCTAGTTTTATACTTCTTTGGTTAAACATATTACAGATTTTGATGATGTTGTAAATTAATTTGTTTTTTATCTTTTTGAGACAGAGTCTTGCTTTGCAGTTCAGGCTGGCCTTGAGCTCACTTTGTAGCCCAGGCTGGTCTCGAACTTGTGATGATCCTCCTGCCTCAGCCTCCTGAGTTCTGGGATTACAAGCGTGTGCCACCATGCCTGGATGTAAATGAAATTATTTTAGTTTTCATTTTCATACTGTTGTTCATTGGTGGAGTATTAGAAATTTTTTTTTACAATTGATGTTGGTCTCATCCCCATAAAATTGCTAAACTTACTATTCTAATAATTTTTAATGGATTCCTAACATTTCCCATATATAAGATCATATCGTAGCTAGATGTCGTGACACGTACTATAATCCCAGCAATCAAGCAGCTGAGTGGGCAGCATCCCAAATTCAGGGGTACCTTGGCCTGCATAGCAAGAACCTGTCTCAAGCCTGTCTCAAACAAAAACAGCTTGACATTGTGACACATGCCTGTAATCCCAGCACTATGGGAGGATGAATCAGGAGGATTTTGTGTTTGAGCCCAACATGGGCCTAGTGGCTTAGAAAGACCCTGTCTCAAAATAAAAAAGGGCTAGGCTCAATGGCCAGTACTAGGATAGGAAAAAGGAACTATTTATGAACTGAAATGGTTTTACTTTCTTCAAGGTTGGTTCCTTTTTCTTCTCTTTCTTTGCAAAACTGAGGGGCATTCTAGTACTGAGCTCTATTCCAGCCCTTATATTTTATTTTGAGACAGTCTTGCAAAGTTGCCCAGACTGGCTTTGAACTTGTGCTCCTCCTGCATTACTTTCCCAAGTAGCTGGACTAGAGGTGTGTACCAACATTCCTAACTAGAATCTTCTCTGTGTGTGTTACTGGGGACCCAAGATCTTGCTATACTAGACACTGCCAGTGGGCTACATCCTCAGCCCTCTGAATGCCTTTTATTTCATTCTCTTACCTAATGCTCTGGCTCGAACCTCAAATGTCATATTGTCTAGAAGTGGCAGGAGTAGACTCCTTTTACTTATTCCTCATCTTACAGGGAAGGCTATTAAATCTTTTTTAATCAGTAAGTATAATTTTAAGTCAGAGTTTCTGGTGTGAAACTTTTTGACATCAAGTGATCAGTATATGAGAGTTTTTGCCTTTTGTTTTTTTGTGGGGGGTTTTTTGGTGGTTTGGTTTTTTGGGTTTTTGTTTTGTTTTGTTTTTTGAGACTGGATCTCACTATATAGTCCAAGTCCTTAAACTTGGGATGATCCTCATACCTCAGCCTTCAAAATGTTGAGATTACAGGTGTGTGCTAACACGTCCTATGCCTGGCTTTAGAATTTTGAACTCAGCTATACTAATCAAGGCTTGTGCTCTGTGGCCATAAAACTGTATCAGAGTCTGAGGCTGTTTATGGCTGCTTCTTTTTTAGTCAGGGAGGGGTTGAGACAGTATATAGTTTAGGCTGGCCTTGAACTCATTATGTAGCCCAGGCCAATCTTACATGTGCAGGGATCCTCCTGCCTCAGCCTTCTGAGTGGGATTACAGGTGTGTGCCACCCTGCCAGGCCTATGTGTGGCTTTTCACAGATTCCATATAACACCTTTGTTTTGTGTTTTAGCAATGGCTGCCATCCGAAAGAAACTGGTGATTGTTGGTGATGGAGCTTGTGGTAAGACATGCTTGCTCATAGTCTTCAGCAAGGACCAGTTCCCGGAAGTATATGTTCCCACGGTGTTTGAGAACTACGTGGCAGATATTGAAGTGGATGGAAAGCAGGTGAGTTAACTTTTCATAGTACCCGGAGCCACTTTGTGTGGTAGGCTCTTCATAGAGCCATGAGAGAGTTAGGCCTTTTGCCCCAGCCCTGGAGAGGATAATCTGTTCTCTCCTGTCATCTTAATCCGGTTCTGTTCATTTCTAACTGTTATTTTCCAGACTTTATCTATATTCATAAGTGTTTTACATGAGGCAGCATTAATATATGCAGTCTTTTGAGCCATATTTATGTTTGAAATGTGTTGCCAGATAGATAATACTCAAACTTCTTTGTGTGAATGACTTTGTTTTTTAAAATTATGTCACTGTATCAGATCAAATGCTCATGTATGAGATTACTAATTCTAGCTGGTCGTAGTGGCACACACCTGTAATCCTAGCACTTGGGAGGCTGAGGCAGGCAGATCATCGCAAGCTCGAGACCAGCCTGGGCTACAAAGTGAGCTCAAGGCCAGCCTGAACTGCATAGTGAGACCCTGTCTCAAAATAAAAAAAAAAACTACTTATTCAAGAGGTAACTGGATGTGGTAGTGCACACCTGTAATCTCAGCACTTGGGAGGCTGAAGCAGGAGGATTGCCATGTGAGTTCCAGGCCAGCCTGGGCTCCATAGTGAGTTCAAAGCCAGCCTGAATCACATAGTGAGAGCCTGTTTCAAAAAGCCAAAAACAAGCAAAAAAATACCAACTCAAGAGATCCTTATTGCTTATGCTTCTCAAAGGGTTATACTGATCTGATACCACCAGTAGTGCAACATTTAAACAATATTTCCATCTACAATTTTTAAAAAATAACAGGTTTTTTTCCCTTTTTTTCTTTTCTTTTTTTTCCCCTGTCTTTTTGAGGCAGGGTCTCAATATGCAGTTCAGGCTGGCCTTGAGCTCACTTTGTAGCCCAGGCTGGTCTCGAACTTGCAACAATCCTCCTGCCTCAGCCTCCTGAGTGCTGGGATTACAGCTATGCACCACCATACCTTGCTAAAACTGTCTTTTTAATTAAACATAAAATTCCCTGCTATAGTTGTTTCATTGTCTTGCCTGTGGCAAAGACAGTGTTCCGCTGTGTCTCCTGAAAGCCCTAGGGGAAGACTAAGACAAAGTTGTTGTGGAATTTATTTTGTACTGTTTCATTTTTAAAGTAATGCTTTGCCTTACTTCCTGTATGTGAAATTACCCCTGTAAGTGGGTGAGCTGGGTAAAAAAAAATAGAACATCCCGACGTGCTCAGTGCTATTGGACCCCTCGGTCACGTGTCTCTTTTGCTGGGAATGCTTTCATAATCTTACCCCCTTCCTCCTTTCTTGCCCGTTTTCCCACTGTCTCTTTCTGCACCAGAATCGCTTAGCCCTGGTTGTGGCACCGTATGTGAAAACGTGGCTCAGGGCACTCAAAATTCCAGAGCGCTTGCTCCAGAGCCGCCTGGTAGTTCTGTGACCATGGGTAAACTGCCTGTCCGTGAGTCCTCCTCCACCACGTGAGAGGTGCCATCAGAGCTCTGTGAAGTAGTTGAAACTGTCTGAAAGCACCAAGTTTAAGATTGGCCTGGAAATACCACACTCGAAACACTTCTTTCTTAGTTTGTGTTCCACTTCATCCAAGTGTGGGGGTGGGGGGTGCTCAGACTGCCGGCGTGCCAGGACAGCCTCGCAGAACTTTGAGTCGCCTTGAAGCTGACCCGACAGTACAGAGCGCTGCTTCTTTAACCTCAGTTCTCTGTGTGTATGCTTGGGTACTGCTGTCTTCCTGTTGCTTTGAGCTAGGGACTCAGTATGTGGTCCCATCTGGCTTTGAACTTGGTATGTAGCCTTGGCTGCCCTTAAACTCGCAGTGATCCTCCTGTCTCAGCCTCCCAGGTACTGGGGCTACAGGTGTGCACCACCATGCCCGGCTCTTGATTGTTTTCTTGTGTTGCCAATCTTGAGCCTTGGAGGGGGCTCTGTCTAAGAAGGTCCGTGTAACACAGCCATTAGGAGAGACGCTGGATTGTAGTGAGCATGTTCCCGGGAAGAGCCCTGCCCCAAACACAAAGGCCTCCCTGACAAGAGAGAGACTCAGTACCCTAAAAGTGTTCATGAGCTTTTTGGGGTCGGGTGTTTCTGACTGAACACCCGTGGGGCATGGAGGGATCCAGGAGAGTGGGGTTTCACAGGGAGTGCAGACGTGCTCCCTTTCAGAGGGTCAACAAGTTTTAACAAGTTGAGTATCAGGGTATCTTAGCTATACAAGCAGACGGTATGCAGGACAAGGGCAGTGGCCCTTGTGGAGGTTTTGATGGATACATCCTGTGGCGGAGAGATCATTAGCCATGAACTTTAAGGAATAAATGGGGTTTTTTGTTTGTTTCTTCTTTGTATGGGGAATCAAATTCAGGACCTTGCACTTGCCCGGCGGTGAGTTATATCCCACTGAGTTAAATCCCCTGCCCAGGAGTAAATGTTTAAAAAATGAAATTTCCATTGTGAAAGAATTAGAAGGGTATAACGAGCATTTAGAGGTAGACATCTTCTGCCACAGATGGTATTAGAGATCCAGTCTAATTGTAAGGACAGGTGACAGAGCTGGTGGCAGTGGTGGACAGTGTGGAACAGGACCCCTGTCCTGAGCCTGGGCCTCAGTGTAACTTCCTTCCATGGAAGGTGAGCCAGGTAGCCAGCCAGGTGTGGAAGTAGTACCTACCCCTGCCTAACAAATGTTTTCTTGCAACCATTGAGGTAGTTGAGCAATAAAGGCAGAGCTGCAGGGCATTTCTGTCACTTCAGGCCTTGTATAACATCTGGAACATCTGGCGTGATATCTTTTCTTATTACCAACTCGAGTACAAATTTGCTGCCAGATTGTAGTGCATTCCCGTAATCTCAGCTACTTGAGAGGCTGGAGCAGGAGGATCACAAATTCAAAGCAAGCCTGTGGATTTCAGTGAGTCCCTGTCTCAATCAAAAAATAATGAGAGGGAAAAAATAATGGAGGGAAGTGTGTGGGCATAGCTCCCTTAGCACGCAGGAGGCTGTGGGTTCACAATAATAGGAGGTATCAGTGTTTACATACTGGAGTGGGATGAAACAAAGTGACGGAATGGTTGAGTGAGAATGTATTAAGTAAAGTTAGTTGGTGTGATGTTTCCACCTGCCCTTATACACCTGCTGCCATGTTATTTACAATTTGGTTTCCTTTCTTAACCACTTTTTTTTCTACTATGGTGTTATTTATAGTGAATATTTTTTTCAGTCCCAGCCCCTGCCTAGCGTTAGGTTTTTTGGGTTTTTTTGGTCTTTTCGAGACAGGATCTCGCTATGCAGTTCAGTGGCCTTGAGCTCACTTTGTAGCCAAGGCTGGCCTCAAACTCGCAACAATCCTCCTGTCTCAGCCTCCCGAGTGCTGCGATTATAGGCGTGGGCCACCACTCCTGGCTCCTGCCTAGCATTAGGGATTAAGCCCAGGACGCTCTACTACTGAGTATCTCCTTAGCTCTCTTTTTGAGTTTGAGACAAGGTCTCACTAAATTCACTGACCTCAAATTTGCAGTCCTGCCTCAGCCTCCCAGGTAGCTGGGACTATAGGCACATGCCACTCACTGCACCTGGTATAAACACTTTTTACAAACTGCAAAATTACTTTGACCAGTTAATTTAAATTATGCTACTTAAGCCAGGCCATGGTGGTGCACGCCTGTAATCCCAGCACTTGGGAAACTGAGGCAGGAGGATCATTGTGAGTTCGAAGCCAACCTGGGTGAACAAAGTGAGCTCAAGTCCAGCATGAACTGCATAGCGAGACCCTGTCTTGAAAGATAAAAAAGAATTATGCCACTTGGTTCATTTCTTAAATCTGTTCTCAAATTTGCTATTTTGAGAAATCAAAATTTAAAACAGCATAGACACACCCTCACCCAGGCACAGGGGCACATCCCTCTGACCCCAGTGTAAGATGAGGCATGGGAATCGCAAGCTGGAGACCAGCCTGGACAACTTAGCAAGCCCTGTCTCAAAATACAAAGGCCTGGGAATGTAGCTTACTGTTAAGACCCTGCATTCCCTCCCCAGTACTGAGGAGCAAGGGGAATACCACATACCTGAGCATTTGGATTTCATTCCGATAAAAATGCACTCTCTTCTGTTGTACTGTTTGGGATGGTCTTGTCTTTGAATGTACACGTGTCAGTTTTTCTAAAAGTAGGTACTGGAATTAACCTTCCATTCCATCACAGGTAGAGCTGGCTTTGTGGGACACGGCTGGACAGGAAGATTACGATCGCCTGAGGCCTCTCTCCTACCCAGACACCGATGTTATACTGATGTGTTTCTCCATTGACAGCCCTGATAGTTTAGGTGAGTGGCACTGTGGCCTGTTGGTCCCCATCTGCTTAATGATGGCATCTGGTTTTTCAGACCTTTCCTGGGCATCAGGCGGGTAAAAAGCAGGCCTCATCTTCAGAAAAAGAGTCCTCAGTAGCCAAAGTCTTTAGGCTTTGGTACAGTAGACTTGGGCTGTGGCTCCCTTTACAGCCTGTATCGCCCATGGCTGCAGTGATTGCTTCATCGTGGTGCTAGAGATTGAACCCACATAGCAAGCGCCATACCCCTGAGCGGTACCACTAGCCTTGTTCCAGTGTTTGAAATGTGTCGACCTTGTGGCTTGGTGTGGTAGTTTACAACTACCATCGCAGCACGCTGGGACGCCATGGCAGGAGGTTTGCAAGTTCAAGGCCAGTCTGGGCAATTGAGCAATTTAATTTAGCTTGACCCTCCAAAATATTTTGGGTTTTTTTTTTTTTTTTCCCACCGGGTACCGGACCCTCCAAAATTTGGCTCAGTGCAAAGGCCCTGGATTTAGTCCCCAGTACCACCACCCCACATGCAAAAAAGTAACAACCTTTTCACCAGTTGTGGAATTACAGATAAGCGCCACCAGACCTGGCTTGTTGGCACTTCAGAGATCATACGGGCCTGGTGGTGCATGCCTATAATCCCAGCACTGAGGAGGCTGAGGCAGGAGGATAGCCATGATTTCAAGGCTAGCCTGGGCTACATAGTGAGTTCAAGGCCGGCCTGAACTCTACAGCCAAATGCTGTCTCAAAAAACAACAACAAAAAAAAAAGAAAGAAAAGAAAGGTGATATGGGCCAGGTGTGGTGGTGCACACCTGCAGCCTCAGCACTCAGGAAGCTGAGGCAGGATTGCTGTGAGTTCAAGATCAGGCTGGGCTACAAAATGAGCTCAAGGCCAGCCTGAACTGCATAGCTAAACTGTGTCTCAAAAGGACAAAAAAGAAAAAAGGTATGACACCAGGCATGGTGGCACATGCTGGTAATCTGAGCACTCTCAAGGCAGAGGCAGGAGATCGCCGAGAGCTTGAGGCCAGCTTGGGCTACATAGTGAGTTCAAGGCCATCCTGAACTACCTAACCAGACCCTGTCTTAGAAAGGAAAGAAGGAAGGACTGAAAGAACTCCGTAGAGTGGGGAGCAACGCACGGTGGCACATGCTTGTTGTCCCAGCCTTGAGGGTATAGATTTGGACTGATAGCATGGCTGACCTGGACAAGAGAGCAGCACCCTACATACAAAACAAGTAAAATAATAGATAATGAGGGGAGCAAGTGGGGCCATACTTCAGTGGTAGAACACATAGTGGCCTAACATATACAAGGGCGTGGGTTCAGCCACTAGGCTAAGGGGCTGGGGATTTAGCTCAGCGGTACAGTGCCTGCTTGGCAAGCACGAGGTCAGGAGTTCGATTCCCGGTACGGGGGAGGGGGGAACCACTAGGCTAAAAAGGAGGAGGGAAAAAAGAAGATGCAAGCTAATGTCAGCCTAAAGCCAGACTGACAGACCTGAGCAGTTACTGTCCACTGCTAAGCGCTCCACCGCAGATGCAGGAAAAGAGTGTCCTCCTGCTTGCTGATGGCGGCAGCTAAGATGAAACAGCGGAACACACGAGGAGTCATGAAGAGCGCACGCACACGCCGCTAGGGTCACGGCCAGGGCTGCACACCACGCGTGAACTTGTGCTGGGATCCACTTGCCTCTACCTTCTAGCTTTCTGGGATTACACTATGTGCCATCATGCCCAAATGTCTTTTAACTATTTCAAAGTCATTTTTTAAATTTTATTTTTTGGAACTTTTGAGACAGGGTCTCATTATGCAGTTCAGGCTGACCTTAAACTCACAACAATCCTCCTGCCCAAGTGCTGGGATTGTAGGCACAAAGTCATTTTTGAGCCTTTTTTTTTTAAATAACAGGAATCGAACTCAGGACCTTGCTCTTGCCAAGCAAGGTGTTGTGTTGCTGATCTGTATCACTGCCTTCTCACCCCCTTTTTGAAAGACAGGGTCTCACTATATACAGTTCAGGATGATCTTGACCTGTATAGCCCAGGCTAGCCTCAAATTCATGGTGATCATCCTGCCTAAGCCTTCTGAGTGCTAGAATTATGGGTGTGCACCTCCTTGGCCAGTTTGAGCCATTTTAAATAACAACAACTGAGCCAGCACATGTCACATGTCTGTAATCACAGCACTTGGGAGGCTATGACAGGTGGATCACAAGTTTGAGATCATTTTAGGCTACATGTAGAGACCCCAAGAAAAGAAAAGAAGCCAGAAAAGAAAAGAAGCCAGGCATGGTGGCGCATGCTTGTAATCCCACCTGTAATCCCAGTACTCTGGAGGCTGAGGCAGGAGGATTGATGAGTTTGAGACCAGCCTGGGCTGCAAAGTGAGCTCAAGGCCAGCCTGAACTGCATAGCAACACCTTGTCTCAAAAAAGACAAAAAAAAAAAAAGAGAGAAAAACACAGAGGGTGAAATTCATCCTCTGGGCCTCATGAGCAAGGTAAAAAAAAAGAAAATGTACATCCTGGTGCATTTCCTTGGGCTTTCCAGACAGAGGAAGTCAGCATTCTTGGTGCAATGAGATGTGTTTACAGGAGGGAAGATTTTGCCTTTTGTTTTGGAGACCAGTGGGTTTCCGTTAACTGTCCAAAATAGTTTTGTTATGTTCTGATTTTTTAATTATTTTTTCCCCCAGTACTAAGTATTGAACCCAGGGTCTTTGCACTTTTATATCTTCTTGTGTTTTTAATTATTGAAACAAGGTCTTACTAAGTTGCCCAGGCTGGTCTTGAACTTTATGATCTTTTGCCTCAACCTCCCACAGTGCTAAGATTCTAGTAAATGTCCAGCATACTTCTGAAGCAGAAAAGATAGTGTCTTTGCAATTAACTAAGGCTCTTAGAAATTTTTACAGATGGAATTGTAATGTTTTCCCATATTGTGTGCATTTTTCTTCTCGCAGAAAACATCCCAGAAAAGTGGACCCCAGAAGTGAAGCATTTCTGTCCCAATGTACCCATTATCCTGGTTGGGAACAAGAAGGATCTTCGGAATGATGAGCACACAAGACGGGAATTAGCCAAGATGAAGCAGGTGTGTGGCTTCTGAACCCCAGTGGCAGACTTTTTTGTGTTTTTTGAGCCTGGGTCTATGTAGTCCAGGGTGGCGTTGAACTCACTGTGCCCCCCAGGCTGGCCTGGAACTCACAGCAGTCCTCTTGGTTCAGCCTGCCAAGTGCTAGGATCAGAGGCGTGTGCCACCACACCCACCCTTTCTATAACTTCCTTGAACTTGGGTGCTCCGTGACCACCCTCACTTGACATTCACATAGAGAAATGTGTGTGGGTGCCCGTGATGGTGCACGCCTGTAATCCCAACACTCCTGAAGGTGAGGCAAGGTCACTGAGTTTGAGGCCAGTCTGAACTACATAGCAGGACCCTCCTGTCTCAACAAAACACCCACTCACCCCAGTGTGTCTCTGTTTGGGTATGTTTTTTGTTTCTTGTTATTTTTTTATTCTGGGCAGTTGAACTCTGGACTATGCACATATATGCTAGGCAAGTGCTCTTTCATTGAGCTACATCTACAACCTGGAATATCTCTTATGAAAGTAAGTGAGCCCGCAAGGACTACCAGCCAGGAAGGAACCATGCTAGTTAGTGCCTCAGAGCTTTAGCATAGTGGGCTTTGATTGTCTTCTCTACTTATTACCTGGGTACTTGTGAGGCCAAAGATAAATTAGTAAGTACTGGGTAATCAGACAACCTAAAGGGAGAAAGTTCTGATACCTTCACCTGTGCCTTTATTATAAAGTGATGGTGGAAGTGTGGGCTCTTGACCTCTCAAAAGCCTGTGGCCTCTTGGCAGGGGATGTATCACTTGCCTAGCATGTGGGAGGCCCTGGGTTCCATTCCCAGCACCACAAAAACAGAAAATGCTGGCTGTAGGGCCACACGCCTGTGATCCCAACACCCAGGACACGGAGGCAGGAGGATTGCTCTGAGTTTGAGGCCAGGCTGGGCTACATAGTTCCAGTCTACCCTGAATTACATAGTGAGACCCTTTCTCAGAAAGAAAAACCCAGGCCCTACTTCTATCCGGGGGCATTCAGTCCTCTGTAAACTAGAGGAACACCTAGAGGCTTGCCCTCAAGTCCTCCTTTAATCTTTCAGGGCTGCTGTGACCGCTTCTTTCTCTCCACTTGGCAGAAAAAGAGTGTGTTCACTGGAGATACTGGGGGAGGGTGGTTATTGCACGGCATGGCCCTTCTCCAGGTGTTTTACCTGAATGTGAGTGTTCTGCACCTGGTTTGTATGTGCATGTAAGCAACTCTGTCAGCTGAAAGCACTGTTCTCTCTTTTCCAGGAGCCAGTAAAACCTGAAGAAGGCAGAGATATGGCAAACAGGATTGGCGCTTTCGGGTACATGGAGTGTTCAGCGAAGACCAAAGATGGAGTGAGAGAGGTGTTTGAAATGGCCACGAGAGCGGCTCTGCAGGCCAGGCGTGGGAAGAAAAAATCCGGGTGCCTTGTCTTGTGAGCCCCTGCTGCGAGCACAGCCCCCATGCGGTTAACTTTGAAGTGCTGTTTATTAATCTTAGTGTATGATTACTGGCCTTTTTCATTTATCTATAATTTACCTAAGATTACAAATCAGAAGTCATCTTGCTACCAGTATTTAGAAGCCAGCAGTGATTATTAATGATGTCCAACCCATCTGACCTGCCAGGATCCTTCCGACACCGCTCTAACGGCCCTTTCTGCACTCCCCTGACACACCAGGCGCTAACTCAAGAATTTCTTAACTTCTTGCTTCTTTCTAGAAAGAGACAGTCGGTAACTTTTGTGAATTAGGCTGTAACTACTTCCTAACTAACACGTCCTGCCTCTCTGGCCCGTCAGCTGCAGGGAGTTCTGACGAGTCCCCGCCGCAGAGCCTCCCTCCTCATGGAGCTCCTTGGCGTAGCTCTGGGGCCACATCCAGTTTTTTTGAAAACATGCTCAGCCAGAAGCCCCAGGTCCGTGCAGCTGTGGCAGAGTTACAGTTCTGTGGTTTCATGTTAGTTACCTTATAGTTACCATGTAATTAGTGCCACTTAATGTATGTTACCAAAAATAAATATATCTACCCCAGACTAGATGTAGTATTTTTTGTATAATTGGATTTCCTAATACTGATATTTGTCATCCCCACAGAGAATGTATTGGTTTTTTTTAAACAAAGTGTATTTGGAAATAAAGTCAGATGGAAAATTCATTTTTAAAAATTCCCGTTTTGTCACTTTCTCTGATACAAGAAGGCTGTCGCCCCTTTTTGGCTCTACGTATCCCAGCGCCCCTCTCCAGAACTGGGGTAGTAACGAGGAATTTGGCTCGAAGATGGCAAAGCCCTTCTCCCGTGGGCTGCAGGGCCTGGCTCTAGTTCACAGCGCTCCTTCCCACCTACTGAGGCGCCCCGAGAAGCCATCAGTTCTCAGGGACGGTACTCGGTTTTTCTCTCCTCTCCAGCTGACTAAACTTTTTTTCTGTACCAGTTAATTTTTCCAACTAATAGAATAAAGGCAGTTTTCTAAACTTGTGCGTCCTGTGTGTGTTTCTCCAGGGCAGAGGGCAGGAGGGTGGGAGGACTCAGCCCTCCTGGCAGTACTCAGGGTGCAGAGTACCACTTGTGTGCCGCACATCGTCCTTAGGACCTTGGCTCCTCCCCAAGAGGTGAAGTTGTGTGTCACAGTCGAGTTGAGGGGTGAAGGGAAGCCCCCTGGGCGGAACCCTGAAGAGGGCAGTCAGGGCTGAACTTCCTTAGCTCTGTCAAGCTGTTTGGGCCACTTTCAGAGGCCAGAGGGCCGTGGGAGCCCCGTGGAGCACCTGCGTGAGGGCAGCGTGGCACTAGGGATGGAAAGGGGGAAGACCAGAGGCCTGGATGTGAGGCTTGAGAAAGGACTGACTGGACCCTGGAGCCCTGAACTACTCCAGTTTGCCACCTGTATTGCCCACCTTCCTCCAGTCTCCCATTTTTGTTTTATTTTTTTGAGACAGTGTCTCACTATGTGGTTCAGGCAGACCTTGAATCCGTAGTGATCATTTTGCCTCATCCTCCACAGCGGTGTGCCCTCAAAGTCATGGAGAGCTGGTGTGGTGCACACCTGTTTACCTAGCACTGGGTTAGCTCGGTAGGAGGACTACTGCGACCTAGTGAGACGCTATCTCAAGACAACACCTTCGTAGCAGGGCGTGGTGGTGCACACTTGTAATCCCAGCACTCCGGAGGCTGAGGCAGGAGGATTGCTTCCAGCTGGAGGCCATGTGAGTTTGAACCCAGCCTGAACTACACAGTGAGACTGGTCTCAGGGAAAAAAACAAAACAACCAAAAACGTAGCAGAGAGAACTTGCCGGGTGCGATCAACAGCACCATTGCCACATGTGAAAACCCCATGCACCTGGCAACAGTGGGGTACTTGTGAGGGTGACGCGGCCCGGGACGGGGGCTGTTCCTGCAGGCGCTGCCTCCACTTCCTGGGCAGCCGCTCTCCAAGGCTCTGCCTCACGCCCTAGTTACGGAAGCTTTGAGAGCAACGCCGGCAGCCGGCGCGGCCCGGGCCAGACCCGACCAGACCCGACGTGCTCCAGCGGCTGCCCGGGTGGGGCCGCCTCGG